ATAACAACAGCAAATTTAATGACATTAGGCGTTGAAAATACACATCAAAAAAATGGCATTGGGGGGCGTCTTCTGGAATTTGGATGTCAAAAAATGGAGGAACAAAACTGCTCGTCTGTCTATCTCCACGCACTCACAACAAACACATCAGCACATCAGTTCTATAAAAATCACTCATTTGTAATTAAAAAGTTGATTCCAAAGTACTACAGTTTTTCAGAAACCCCACAAGATGCTTATTACTTGCAAAGAAATTTCAAGGAGGTCAGGTGGTCTTTCTTAACATACTGCTTCGACCAAATCATTATCTTCTTCGACTCGACTTGATGAATCACTGTTCCATAAACAAACTATAGTTAATAGTTTATTTGTAGTTTATTTATTGATTGATGAAATTGAAACAATTTAAAAATGTATTATAAACAAACTATAATTATTAATCATAATTGTTAATAATAAACAAACTAGAATAAAGCTACTATTTTATTATTAATTCCTCAACACAAAAAAACTATAATTAATACAATAATAACTATATATAATTAGTTTTTCAATACAAAGGAATCAGAAACTCGAAAAGTGAGAAAATCGAATGGAGAAAGATAAAGTGAAGGGGAAACAATACATCTGGGGAACACTAATAGACTTTGACAAGACTGTAGCAGATATTAAAGAGCTAATTAAAACTGCGAAATACACCGCACTTCTTCCTCGAGCGACCGAAGATGGGTATATAGATATCGACTTGAATGATGTCAAGACTCAAAATTCGATGCTTCACAAGTGTATTATAGAGTACCCGACACAACTTTTACACATCATGGATGAAGTCGTCACCGAGATTTGTGATATATCCGTCCAAGTCAGAGTTTTCAATTTGCCACTGACTAAGAGGATACGAGGACTTTCACCAAGCGACATTGAACGACTTGTTACCATTCGAGGGATGGTGACTCGAGTATCCAATTTGATTCCGTCCATGAAGATCGGTGTCTTCATATGTACTAGCTGCCATTATGTGAAAGAAATAGATGTGGATTTAAGAGGGACTTTGACCATTCCATCAAAGTGTGAGAATTGTAAGAAGAGTAACACCCTCCAAATCGACCACACACGATCGGAGTTCATAGACAAGCAGATCATTCGAGTGCAAGAAGCGCCGGAGTCTATGCCCCCCGGAGAGACTCCACAAACTCTTCATTTACTTGCCTTTGATTTATTAGTCGACTCTGCAAAGCCCGGGGATCGTGTAGAAATCACTGGCGTTTACCGAGCCGATGCAATCAAAATTGGAATCTCTCAAAGAACGGTGAGGGCGGTGTTTAACTCGTACATTGACATCGTCCACGTCAAGAAGTACACAAAACAGAATGTCGTGGACGTCGACTTCCCATCACTCATAACACCAAATTGGTATGAGAAGTTGGTCCATTCACTCGCGCCGTCTATCACAGAGATGGACGACGTCAAAAAGGGGCTTTTATGTCAGCTCTTTGGGGGGACTCGAAAGGTCTTAAACGACCAACAAAAGCTTCGTGGGGATATCAACGTCTTACTTGTTGGCGATCCTGGGACTTCGAAGTCGCAATTACTGACTTTCATCCACAAAGTAGCGCCGCGAGGAATGTACACGAGTGGGAGAGGGTCATCTGCTGTTGGGTTGACTGCGTTTGTAGGGAAGAGTGAAGATGGAGGAACTGTGTTGGAGAGTGGAGCGCTTGTGATGAGTGACAAAGGGTTGTGTTGTATTGATGAGTTTGATAAGATGACGGAGATGACGCGGAGTGTGTTACATGAAGTGATGGAGCAACAAACAATTTCAGTAGCGAAGAGTGGGATTGTGTGTTCCTTAAATGCACGGACGGCGATTTTGGCGTCTGCCAATCCGAAAGAGTCGAGGTACAATCCAAAGTTGAATATATTAGAAAATATACAGATGCCACCTTCCCTCTTGTCACGATTTGACTTGATTTATTTGATATTGGATCGACCGGATTTGGAGCGAGACAAACGACTTGCACGACATATCATTTCACTCTATTGGGGGGAGGAGAAAGTGACCAACACGTTGGACATCCCCACATTCTCTGCATTTGTGAAATACGCACGGAAGAATTGTAAGCCAGTCTTGTCACAAGAAGCCGGCGAGACTCTTGTGGAGGGGTATTTACAGATGCGAAAAATAGGGTCTGAAAATAAGACGAAGAAGACGGTGTCTGCAACAACACGGCAATTGGAGTCACTGATTCGAATATCAGGTTTGTATTATTTATTATTACTATTTATATCTATTGCTTTTATAATATTATAATATTGAATAACGTCTAGAGGCTAGAGCTAAAATGGAACTCCGTCCTTTGATCTCTGTGGATGACGCTAAAGAGGCAATTCGACTGGTTAAGACTGCAATCTTACAAGCAGCAACAGACCCATTGACTGGACTTGTTGACTATGATTTATTAGCGACGGAAGGTGCGCCACAAGTAGCAGAAGAGAAGGAGAGGCCTCTATAAATCACTTGTGTTATACAGAGCAGTTATGGAAGAGAATAGTTAAATTTATAGTAAAGTAATTATAAAGTTTGGTAACACAAATACACAATAAAATTGAACTAATTCGACTTGAGTTCTATTCTGACTCCATGCGATAGAGAAAGTTGCTGGGAGTGCTTGTTGTTCACGAGTGTGTTGTTGGACTCCAACTCATACTGTGAATTTCTGAGGAAGCCATGTGTGATACAGCACCCGACGTGAGTAGAAATAGTGATACATATCATACAAAAGACCATGAAATAGATTGGAATGAAGATCACCCAAAACCGCGTGTCTATCCGCCCATCCAATTTGAGAGACAACAACGCAACAAAAGCGAGCAATGGAACCGAGAAAAACACGAGGAAGAGAAACACAAGTTTGAGTATAAAAAGAGCTTCAGATGTGGTCTTCTTCTCGAAACAAGGGAAGAGATGTCTGAAGCCGGGAACGTCGGATACCACCAATTTTGATTCGAAGCATTTCAAATAAAGAAACGCGAATAAACAAATGAAGAGCAAATAGAATTGTAACACGTAAATAGGAATAAACGCGTATTTGTTAGGGAAGTCGATGTCGAAGAGTAATGAAAGTGTTAACAGCATAAATAACGTCAATACGCAACACGACGGGAACATGAAGTAAATCAGTTTTGTCAGCGACCATTTTGTGCGCGTGTACTTTGGAAGGAATGAGAAATTGGCGCACGAGAACACGGAGAGGACGAAATTGAAGAAGATGGGAATGACGACAAAGACAAACGACATCTTCCCAACGATAAATAAGAAGAAGAGGAAGAAGTCGATGATGACAAGTATATTAAAGAATGACGCAACACCAATGTACTGTGACGCGAAGCTATAGATTGAGCCGATGAGTAACAAGGAAACGTTCTGTTGTGGAAGAAATGTCAAATCGAAATCCGTCCCATAGACGTAATAGATACATATGAATGCCAAATAGGGGAAAAGTGCTCGAGTGACTATCGAGAAGGACAAGAAAGCCATTGGAATGACTATATTGATGGTCGATATTCGGTCTAAGTGTATCACTAAAAGAGCTATGAAGATGACATCACAGAAGAATGTGATGTAATCAAAGGAGATGTTAAGTAAGATATTGAGTAAGATCCACACTATTTTTTTAAAGGGTCGGTTATGGACGGTATGGCGTGTCGGGTGAGGAGCATTCGATTGTTCATATTGCGAAATGACTATAAAGTCTTGTTGGTACTGAGACAGACTTTGGAGAGGGTCTTCGCAGGTATACCCCAACTTCGTGTGCCAATACGTCACATCGCTTATCAATAAACTAAATTTCTTACATGTCAACGACATGGAGAGAACATCTTGTGGCGACAAGTGACTTGTGATGTGATTTAAGAGTGTTGGTGGGAGGGTCTCAAGTGAATATTGCTCGTCCATTCTTCGTTTCAGATTTGACAGTTTGATTTCTAAAAGAAGATTTTAATTGATATTTTACTATTAAGTTATAGTTTTCTATTTTAATTTAATTTTTTTTATTAAAATGTATAATTTTATAAAATTAGTATATTTATATATAACTATACCATTTGGATAGTATAATATAATAGTTGTAAATATATAGTAAAATTACTAGAGTAATAATATATCAATTTTAAGAGTGGAATGAAAGTATTAATAATGATAGAAAAAAATAGTAAAAATTGTAGAAATAAGAAAAGGAAAACCCTAAAGAACGAGAAAAGGCAATGGTCTTCACTCGTTTTGTTGAAGTAGGTCGTGTTGTGTTGATCAAGGCTGGACCATTCGTAAACAAATTGGCCGTCATTGTCGAGATCCTCGACCACAGCAGAGTACTCATCGACGGTCCACAGGCGATCACTGGTGTTACCAGACAAGTCATCAACTTGAAGCAGGTCGACTTGACATCCTTCGTCGTTGCTAATGTCACACGTGGAATGCTCCACAACAAGCTTTGCTTACGTTTCGAACAGGACCACATCGTCAAGAGATTCGCCAAAACTGCTCAAGGCAAGGCCATTGAAAGATTCAACTTAAGATCCAAAATGACCGATTTCGACGCCTTCAGAGTTAACAAGATCAATAGAAATATTGACGCCGTCGCTAGAGCTATTGCTTTCAAGAAAGCCAAATGATTTAACTCGTTGTCTTGTCTCTGTTATAATTCTTATTACAACAAGGTGGTTTTTTCTTATAGATTTTAATATATTATTATTAATATAGTATTAATTATTTCTGTTATAATTAAATGCTTTTTTTATTATTGTTTTTTATTATTTTTATATAAACAAAATAAGTCTCAATTTTAAGGCGATCACGGTGAATCTATTTATGTTGATTATTTTGGCTTTTTTACTCAGGAAATAAATATAGAACGATTATTATTAAAAATGAAAAATTTAGAAAATAATTTTTAACCTTATAAAAATACAACATACTTTGCTCCAAATATAAAAAACAAAATAATTGCAAAATAATATTTTATATTTTGAATCAGTTTCTTAACGTTTTCTGTTAAAAAAATAATTATTGTTATTTTTTTAATAAAAAGTTTAATATATTTACTAAATTATATAGTTCAAATAATTATTTTTACAAATAAATATAAAAACCGCAATTGAGTTGTGTGAAGGGGGAATTTGTATTTATTGATGGAAAAGTGTTTCCGTTGATCTTGCGGAGACTTTGGATACATTTCCGTAGCCAGTTAGTTACAATTAACACAACAATGAAAGTCCTCCGCTATTTTTTATTAAAACTTTTTTGTTAAAAAAAAACGTGAAAAAATTTGAAATAGTATATTCAATCGTAAATAATCTATAATACAAAATCATCATCTATAAATAAAATGTGCATTTTTCATCATCTAAATATAGAACAATTAACATAAAAAAAGAAAAAAAAACACAATGTACTAATAATTTGTATTATTATATATAATATCGTAATAGTACACCATTCATAATAGTTTATTATATCATTTAAATTATTACAACATTTGTAATTTGATCAATAAACGTAAACTTATTTTGAAGAAACTTGACACGCGTGATACAGTTAACACTTAACCATATTTAAATTTATTTGTTAAATAATCAATTGTTTACAGATAAACATACTTTAATATGAATTGTCAAAAGTACCCAATTATTGATAAATTTGTTATTTTTTGATAGTATGTTTATTGTGTTTAATTGACATTATTTTTTTTAATTCACAAAACGTACATGTATTTGTTCAAAATTAAAACAATATTAAAACAGTTTTCAAAGGTGTTGTATTTGTATTTCAAACTATATTGTTAAAGATAGGTTATGTTTGTTTTTTTAATAAACAATTCTGATAATTCACAAATTCA